TGATCAAAATATAGTAGTAAGTAATTGATTAAAAGGCCTTGAAAGTAACGCAAAGCAATAAAAGTAAAAAAAATAGAAAAGTGTATAGCAGATGTGAAAATGCCAATTCGTTCTTTATGCAAATTTTTCTATTACTTTTTATTTTGTATAAATGTGTACGGTTGAACAAATTTTAAATACAGTCCATCTTATTCTATGCTTATTGTACAGTAAGTTTGGTGTAGAAAGTGTTATTTACTAAAAAGTCTTATTTCGAACTTATAGTAATATTTAATTACTGACAAAATAGTGAATACATTTTTGCTTTCCATGCAAACTCAACGCTGAATTTAGCGTTTACTTGCAGCCAGTCTTCGGTACAATCTATTTCACAAAATACGCAAATACCCTGGAGAAATCGTCATGAATATTTTTGTCCTGATAAAGTTTTACAAGAAAAAAAGTGAATAAGTGAATGAATATAGGAATGGGTGAATTGATCATCGAATAGGGAATGAATGAATGAATAAATGAATAAAAGTGTAGTGAAAATGACTGAACAAATAAATTTAATAAATAAATAAATAAATAAATAAATAAATAAATAAATAAATAAATAGCTTTATAAATAAGTAAATAGGTTTATAAATAAGAAAATTAATTAATTCATAAATAAATGAATAAACAAATAAACAAATAAATAAATAAATAATGCTGCGACAATGTCGACATGCTGCCAGTAAAATAATATATTCTTATTTGCAAAACACACAAATACGTTACTACTCTTTGCATATTTATTTGTGTGTTGTGTAAAAAAATACTTTTTTGATTGGTCTGAACATTTTTGGTAACATTTGTCCTCTAAAAGTTACTGAGATGCAAACGTAGAATGAAATTGAATGGCGTTGATATTTGCATAATTTTGCTTGGTAACGATTTCCTTCGACCTCCAACAAGACAATAATGAATACAACCTTTACTTTGCATCGCAACTTGAACGTACTGCAATTTATCGCTGATCTATTCGGGAAAAATGAGAGCATTCCCGAGTAGTAGATACTAAGTAGATCTGACTTTTAATCAAGTTGCTTTACAACTTTGCGACTTTTCCCAACTTTCACTGAACTTCAAAATGAAGTTAAACTTGAAGGTTACTTTCAAACTTGAAGTCTTTCTGCATTATTATTATTATTTCTATTTGTCAACAAAATACACAAATGCTTTTTGATAACACAAAAATTATTACTAGTTTCTATCTACTGCTTATGAAACAAATATATTGTTTGACTCGATCTGAACTGATATTTCAGCTATATTCTGTGCACAAATGGAATTAAGTCCTTTACTCTTGATAATAAAGTTCTGGTATATAATATGTTCTTTATTAAAGTACTACTAAAATAAGAACTGTTATTAAAGCTTTCAAGTTGTAAGCTTCTATGCTTGCATCGTTAAGACTTGAAATTATAACACTCCTTTGTAAGAGATTACAATCTATTATCTATCAAAATGAGGGACGATGATAAAATTTGCATTACTTTGAAATTAGTTCAAAAGTTTCGTAGGAACATACTTTTCTCCTTTTTGCCTCTTTTTTTCTATTCCGTTACTTTGTGATTTTATTCAAATTTTACTTGTATTTTTCGCAGATATTTTACATTTTAAACATGAAAATGCTCAAATTTCGTCCTAGCAATGGCTCCTCCACATTATATTATCAATTATCAAATATGATGTTTCCATTTAATTATTGCTGCAAATACTTATAATGCGTTTGTAAATTTATTCAGCTCAAATCAAAAATATAGCTGAATAAATTTGAAGGGTGAATAAATATAGCAATCGTATATATATATGCAGGATATTAAAAATTATTTGATGACTTTTAAAAAATATTAGTTATTAAGCTAGTACTTATTCCGATTGTCAGTTATTTGCCTGTTATTATATAACATTTAACGTTAAAGTGTGTCAAGAGTGAATATTCAAAGTTTTTTATTCAAATTCAGAATTTGAAACGTTTCTCTGATTTAAGGCAAAATATTCGGGCAAACAAAATCAATCAATCATCAACTTTCTCCTGTGGTTTTTTAAATAAACTTGCATGATAACGAAAAAGATTGAAAAAACAATTCACTCATCTATTTTGTTCAAAGCTTTCTGTTTCACTAGTCATCTGCTCTTTTCATGAATTTTAACTACAGAATCAGACTTATTTTATAATTAATTGCTTGCTGACAGAGTGAAGTATTTGCATCCACTAGTTTTAACTTTTTAATTTCTAAGAACCAACTGACATCTAAATTTAACAGATTTTGAATAGTTCGAGATTAAGTTTTAGGTTTATTTGGAAAATGTTTTCAGGTTTATATGTGAGATTAGCAATTGACTTGGCATTTAAAGCAATCAATTGCGGTCAAAAGGTCAAGTACATGAGTTAATTTGAAGAAGTTATCTTCAATTATGCAATATCTTCATTTGCGTTAAGTGGAACATTTGTTTCAAGAAGTCATAATTTCTTGTAGTCACATTTTTAAGAACTGCGGTAAAGAATTAATTTATAATTCCGTACGTAATTACAGAGACTTTGACAAACATTCTGAAAATCAAGCAATCGCATCAGCAGTTGTGCATAAATAGATTAAATCTTCTAAAATAGTCCAAAAATTGCTATTTTCGAGTACTTTGCTGTCTCATGATTTACATTCATTTCACGTGAGTTCAAGTAAGCAGTTTAATGAATGTACGTCCACTTTTATTCTGTGTAAGAAAATAAATGTCAGTTTAGCTAGTTTTAATAACTTAAATGTTCAGAAAAACAGGATGGATCAGAGTTACATGAGGTGACAGCTTGCAGAACATCTGTTCCAGTTTGCGTATCAAATAGTATCTACGAGAGTTGCCAAAGTAGAGTTTACGTTTATTTCACTCTTCTGACTAATACATTTTGTAATCAGCCATTGATTCTATGATCATCAATCGATACTTTGATCAGCAGCTAATTTTATCACATTCAACGGCCCTGTGCTATATGAATCAATTTGTTGTTTCTTCGATTCACAACTCGACAAGTCATAAAAAACTTTTTGCTAGAGACTAAATAGTTGCCTCTTCAAATATTACATTTTTATTTTTGTACGAATTTTCCACAAATTTGCGAATGAATTGTGACATAACACAATTATTTTAACGTTCAATTACTTCCTTACTTTTTATGTGTTTTGCTTATAGTTTGTTTACTTCGCAAACAACTTTGCATATTACTTGAGCTACTCCAAATAATTTATTTGTGAGCGATCGCTTGAAATGTTTTTGTGTGTCTTTTATTTGACATTCGTCCCATTCAAACTCAACAACTTTCATTTTTATTACGAATCACTGAGGACAAATTTCACTAAAAATACATATGCCACATCTGAATTCATTCATAAAACAGTCCATTGCTTTCAGTGAATTTGGTTTGACCATTTACTGTGAGGTTTTTCGATTTTATTCAGTAATTTCTTTGCAAACAAAATATTCCATCCAAATCTTAGTGCTTCGCACTAGTATTCGCGCAGGAAAATATACTTGACTTGAATTGAAAATGTCATTTAATTCCATAAATTAAACTAACAAAATGATATAACTGTGCTGTTTAAATTACTACACTTTAGACTGTATTTTCCTCTATGTATACAATTTATTTAATTCTATTATTTGAAGTAAGTTTTCACCTTTTATGAAATTTGCATCACAAATAACGATAGTAATATTAGAGCCTGTCTAAGCTATAAAGAGATGAGTAAATACTTTTTATGCCTAATGAACTATTCAAACTTTGCTTTCTCTACTTATACAATCTAAAAAATTAGAGCGAACCAAGGATGGTAAGGAAAAAGTTCAAGAGATAAAGGAGGCATTTTCAGTCTAAGTCTAACTTTACAAAGTAAATTACTTGAATTATAGTTGGAAAAATATTTTTGAAAATCTTGAAAAATTCAGTGCTTCTTTATACTGACAATTTTGAGTGCTAATCTATTTTTAACACAATATATTTTATA